CCCCCCACTAGACGCTCCCCTCTTGGGGCATGTCATGAACTGCCCGTTCTCAGCAGAGGGGGTGGGTGGGATGTTGGGGGGGGTCCATCCCTCCGTGTGTGTGTGTCCCCCCCCCGCTTCATTCAGCAGGGGGAACCCAGGCATCCGGGCACATTCCTGGGGGGTGATTCATCGGGGGGGGCACCCCCCGCACTTCCCGCCCGGCTGCCTCCGGCCCCGCCCGCCTGTCCCGGGGGGCTGGGGACACAGGGACAGCCAGGGGGGACCTGGGGGGGCCTGAGGGTCCTGGGAACATCCATGGGTCACAGGGAAATCCGTGGGTCCTGCGGGACATCCGTGGGGAATGAGGGGCATCCATGGGTCCTAGGGACACAGATGGATCCTGGAGGTATCCATAGGGCACAGGGGTGTCTGTGGGTCCTGGGGGGCATCTGTGAGTCCTGAGGATAATTATGGGTCACTTAGGACATTTATGGGTCCTGGGGGATATCTATGGGTCCCAGGGACATCCATGGGTCTTGGGGGACATCTATGGGTCCCAAGGACATCTATGGGCCTCAGTGAACATCTGTGGATCCTGAGGACATTTATGGGTCTCTTGGGACAATGATGGGTCCTGGGGAACATCTGTGGATCTCAGGGACATCTATAGGTGCTTGGGAATATGCATGGGTCCCAGAGACACCCATGGATCCTGGGTGCATCCATGGGTACTAGGGGACATCCATTGGTTTCAAGGACATCTGTGGACCTTGGGGACATCTGTGGGTCCCAGGGATATCTGTAGGTCCTAGGGACATCCATGGATCCTGAGGGACATTTATGGGTCCCGGGGGTGTCCATGGGTCCTGAGGGACATCCGTAGATCCAAGAGGCATCTGGGTGAATTGGTGGCATCTGCATGTCCCAGGGCCATCCGTGGGTCCTGGTGGCATCTTCCAGGCTTTGTGCCCACCCCACTAACACCTCCTCTCCCCACAGTGGTTCTGCTGGACTTCGCCAAGGCCCAAGGGGAGCTGGGCTGGCTCACCCACCCCTACGGCAAAGGGGTGAGCACCAGGGACCTCCCTGGGGATGGGAACGTGCACGGGGGTGGGGATGGGAATGGGGACATCCATGGAAATGGGAATGAGGCAAAACCTTGGGGATGGGGCAACCGATGGGGGTGGGAACAGGGACCTCCACGGGGATGGGAATGGGGACATCTTTGGGGATGGGGAAACCCATGAGGATGGGGATAGGGGCATCCATGGGGACCTCCATGGGGACAGGGACCTCTGTGGGGATGGGGACCTCCACAGAGACAGGGACTGGGACCTCCATGGGGACATCCACGTGGAGGGGATGCCCGTGAATATGAAGACAGCAACATCCAGGGCGATGAGGACCCATGGGGACCAGGGGCACCACCCACCCTTGCCTCAGTTTCCCCCCCACATAACCCCCGTTTCTCTCTCGTGGGGGGAGCAGTGGGACCTGCTGCAGAACGTGCTGAACGACTCCTTGATCTACATCTACTCGGTGTGCAACGTCCTGGAGGGCGAGCAGGAGAACTGGCTCCGCACCAACTGGATCTACCGCGGGGTGGCCCAGCGCATCTTCATCGAGCTCCAGTTCACCGTGCGCGACTGCAACAGCTTCCCCACGGCGGGGGGGGGCTCCTGCAAGGAGACCTTCAACCTCTACTACGCCGAATCCGACGTGGATTATGGCACCAACTTCCAGAAGAGACAGTTCAAGAAGATCGACACCATCGCTCCGGATGAAATCACCGTCCAGGAGGATTTTGCCTCCCGGAACGTGAAGCTGAACGTGGAGGTGAGGTCGGTGGGACCTCTGCGCAGGAAAGGGTTCTACTTGGCCTTCCAGGATCTGGGAGCTTGCGTGGCCCTGCTCTCCGTGCGGATCTACTACAAGAGGTGTCCGGAGGTGGTGAGGGGCATGGCCAGGTTCCCGGCCACCGTGGCCGGCGTGGACTCGCAGCCCTTGGTGCAGGTGCAGGGCAGCTGCGTGGAGGAGGCCGTGGTGGCCCAGCAGGACCCCGCGCTGCACTGCAGCCCCGAGGGGGAGTGGCTGGTGCCCATCGGGGAGTGTCAGTGCCGGGAGGGGCACCAGAGAGTGGGGGACACCTGCCAAGGTAGGCATGGGGAGGGGGCTGGGGGGGAAGTGGGATTGGGAGAAGACGTGGGATTGGG